ATACACCCAGAGAAAAAATGACAACATCCGTGTATGAAATGACCACATCCGTGTATGATAGTGTATCAACCACGTTTGGTGTCAAAATGAGCACGCTGTTGTCATTTTGACACCGAGATTTTGGCAACGATTTCAACAACAGATGTGCATGAAATGAGCACATACGTGGTCATTTCGAGCACGCCCCGTTGTCAGATTGTCAACGCTTCGTTGTCAGATCGTCAACGCTTCGTTGTCAGATTGTCAACGCTCCGTTGTCGGATTGTCAACGCCCGTTGTCAGATTGAAATCAATGGTGGTCATTTTTTGATATCCGTTCCTTTTCCATTTTATACCCTTAGTAGAAGAAACGACATTTTTTGAAAAGTATTTTATTGAACGAAACCAATTACATAAATTCAATATAAATACATATTTGATTTAACAAAACAATTCGAATTACATATATTCAATGTATAGAAACAAATTAAATTAACTTAAATCTGAAATAAACTTTTCCATTATTCATAGGATATAAGTGAAATGGGTAAGTAATAAAATCTAAAATTGGTATTAAAAAAATTGTATCCTCATTCAGAGAACCAACTTCATACGATTGTAAATGGTAATCAAAGTTTTTAACTTTTACTTGGTTACATAAAATGTAAACATTTTCATTTTCAATTATTAAATGTTTAATTTTGAAAAGTTCAATTGCGGCATTATTTGTTGCTAAATAATAGTTTTTTTTATACCTAGTTCCCTTAAAAAAAATGTCATCAGACACTTTGCAATTTTGGTAATTTAAAACTGGCTTACTTTTTTTGTAACAATATTCCTCTTTTGCCAAATCTTCGATGGTATGCGTATTAATGATAACATTTGGTTCTAAGTTATCTTCGTGTTTTAATAAAAAATTGGAAAATTTCAATCCAGACTTAATAGATAATGAACGACAGGGATTTACTCTTGATGTAGTATTTCCTAAATAGGCTTTTGCTTCCTTGTGTTTAGCTTCGAATCTCATGCTCCAGAGATATTTAAGGGGACCACATTTTCGGATAGCTGTGGGATAGTGGACAAGAAAGTGGTGTTTCGGTTTTAACGAACCGTATAATGTTATATAAAGTGAATGGTGATCTCTAATTAATTCTTCCAATTTTATTAAATCGTCTTCTATATAACTTGGTCTTAAAAGTAAATCGATTATTTGTAATAATATTATAAAAACTTTCCAGTGATCGTTGGAGAAAGGAATTAAATCGCCTACCATTAAAGGTAAAAAATTAGTAAAACACATAGTTTCACTAGCTGTCATTTTTAAGTTATAGTTTTTCAATCTACATAAATCTAGTGGTCCAGATTTATTTCCCACTTCAATTTCTCCAAATTGGAATAAAGATTTTCTGCTGTTAATACAATCTAACGTAACAATATTTTCTTGAATCAGCCCGAGAATTACATTAGACATATCGTAGACACATATGCCCTCGAAAATGTCATGCATAATATCAAAACAAAAATTTTCAGTGACGTTAAAATTTGGTAAAGATTCGAAGATACACTTGTTTTTAATACCTGTTTCTTGAAAATTATTTTCCAATACATTTGAGTTGTAATTCTCTTGGTTTCTTAAACTATCTAAATGCTGAATTGCGTCGAATTGCATTTGGGACTTTTTTCTTCTACATACCCGGCAAAATCTTTTAGAGTTAAATGATTGCACGTAGCCTAAAATACTATTAACTGCTAAATTATCTCCAATAATTACACCTAAAATAAAATGCACCTTCTGAACACTTTGTTGAACACAAATTTCAACCCCTTCTTCTAGAATTTTTAACTCTTCTACAAGATTGTGAAATGAAACTTCATTTCCACGTTCTTTTAAATCCTTTGATGGTATAAACGCAGCAGTTAATATATAATCAAGTTTTGACAACAAGTGCTGTGGCATTGAAGGAAAGCTAATATAACAACCACATATGGAAAATGTATGGGTTCCAAGAGGATTATTAATTTGAAAATCATCCATGTAAAGGACATAGGGAATAACTAAATTGTACTGATATTTTAATAATTTAGTTTTATATAACTCACCGTTTGTAAAATTTTGTAAAACAGGTGAATTTAGGAATTTTTTGGAGTTTTCTAATGTCAAATCTAAGAGATTTGGAATTTTAAAAAGGGCACTTATCATGAATTTCAGTGGCATTATATAAATATTGGATAACTTTGGACCTAAACTGGGATTTCCGCTGATAACAATTTCCGAGACTTGATTGCTAATTACATAAACCTTTGGATCATCATAAAAGTTTAGTTCTTTTAAAATTTTTAAAAGTCTATATTCCGTTCTAGTTTCTTCGAAAGGATTTTTACAAAAGTTTAGTAAGTACCTTAAGTCTTCATAATTTGGATGATCAGTTATATATTTTTCAATTGTACATGAAATGGATGAAAGCAGAATTGAAACAGAATGTTGTATTTCTATAACATGATTTCTAGGCATATAGCTTTGACCATGTAATTGTAAAGACAGATATAAGGTTTTCTTTTTCAAAACATTTAAATCCTTTTCTATTGTATTGTTGTTAATAACAGTTTCACTGTTTGTATAATCATTTTCTTTTGATGATGACATTTCAACTGGCACATTAATGGCTTTAACCATTGGTGGAGCTTTTGTGTGATTCTTGTGAAGTTTTTCTAAATGAATTCTGAATGACGTAAATTTTGTAAATGTTTGCTTACAGTTGTCCTGAACGCATTGTACTTTTAAAAATTTAGTGGACATTAAATGGTCTGTTTTCAAATGAGCTATTAAAAGATTTGCCTTATCAAAATGCTTACGGCAACGAAAGCAAATATACATTTTGAATTGTACTTTAATTATTGTTGCAGAAATTAATAAGTGAAGTCAAATTAACTGATTTTATATCATACTAGCTGAACCCGGTGCGCTTCGCTACCCCTTTTGATTTTATATGCATTCAAAATTTTATTTACGAATATATGTTGGATAAAGAAAAACAAATTTAAAAATTAAAAAAAATATTGCACTAATTTAATGCGTAAATAACCAAAACCATTAGAAAAGCAGTAACATGACATACATACACGAAGGGTTTGTCCTTTGGATTTATTTATTTCATAGCAAATACCAAGCGTGCAGGAATTTTTTTAAGTAGAGTGGTATTTCTATTGCAAGTAGTGAATTCGAGATAGCAACATACTTCGCCGTAATAAGCGTATTTCAAATAAATTGTTGTGTTGTTTTTTAGTGTTAGCCTAAGGCGTTGTGGGTCAATGGTTCTTATTAAAATCATATCCCAATCTGATCCGATTTAAATATAATTTAAAAAAAAAATACTTTTACAACAAACTGAAATTGGCGCGTCAAATATGTGAAATCGGCCGAGAATATATATATGGGAGCTATATCCAAATCTTAACTAATTTCCAATTAATTTATCACATTTATTATTATAACAAAATTCCGCCACACATTCTGAATTTCATTGGAATCGGTCATATATATCGTGTTTGGTGCATAATATGTATGAAATCGGCCGAAATATATATGTTAGCTATATCCAAACCTCAACTGATTTCAATATAATTTGGCAATTTTTGCTGGTGCCAGATTTTGTCTCTCTCGCTTTGGGTGCATCAAATATGTGAAATCGGCTGAGTATATATATGGAGCTATAATCACAACTGAGCGTATTTGAATATAATTTGTCAAATTTATTTTTGTACCAAATTTAGCCACTCATGCCGAATTCCGTTAGAATCGGAAATACGTATCGTGTTTTGTGCATCAAATATGTGAAATCGGCGGATAATATATATGGGAGCTATATCCAAATCTGAACCGATTTTAATATAATTCGACTAATTTATTTTCTAATCAAAATCCCGTTACATATTCCAAATTTCTTTGGAATCGAACATACATATCGTGTATGGTGCATAAATCGGTCGAAAATATATATGAGAGCTATATCCAAATCTGAACCGATTTTAATATAATTTGACAAATGTATATTTGTTTTAATTTCCGCTACACATTTCAAATTTCATTGAAATTAGAGATACATAGCGTGTTTGGTGCATCAAATACATGAAATCGGTCGAAAATATATATGGGAGCTATATCCAAATCTGAACCGATTTCAATATAATTTTAAAAATTCATTTTTGCTCCCGATTCCGTTACTTATTTTAAATTTCATTAAATTTGGACATACATATCTTGTTTGGTCCACCAAATACATGAAATCGGCCGAAAATGTATATGGGAGCTATATCCAAATCTGAACCGATTTCAATATAATTTGGGAAATAATTTTTTTTAGATAAAATCTATCACACGTTTCAAATTTCATTGAAATTGGGGATACATAGCGTGTTTGGTGCATCAAATGCTTGAAATCGGCCGAAAATATATATGGGAGCTATATCCAAATCTGAACCGATTTCAATATAATTTGACAAATTTATTTTCGGATCAAATCCCGTCACATATTCCAAATTTCATTGGAATCGAACATTCATATTGTGTTTGAGGCATCAAATGAACGAAATCGGTCGAAAATATATATGGGTGCTATATCCAAATCTGAACCGATTACAATATAATTTACCAAACTTATTTTTGTTCCAAATTCCGTTACACATTCCAAATTTGGAGACTGTATCTTTAACCGATCAATAGATATGTGCATATAAAATCTAAATTTTTGGGAGGTACCTCCGATTCTGATGCTATATCTCCAGTTCCAAGTGGAAATTCAAAAATGTATATAGCCTATGTTACTTTCAGGCGATGTTGCAGTATATATGGAAATTTTCAGAAAAATCTATTCAGCAGTTTTCGAGTCCATAAATTACAAACAAACAAACAAACAAACAAACAAACAAACAAACGTACAAACATTTTCCTCTTTTATAGATATAGATACAGTATTAATTTCATAAAAATATTTTTGGATAAAAATCCATGGAATTTGGCAGGCATTTGGATATTTTAAAGAAAGTGCATGAAAAATTTTAAAACATGTATCTAAACATTCGAGGAACGATTGAAATTTTAACAAATTGTGGTTAAAAAAAACATAAAAACCTTTTATATTGAAATCGGACAAACCCTCCACAATTATAAATGGCTGTATAGTTAATCCAGCATTGTAATACTTTTCAGTGACTGTATCAATTTGCCTTTTATAATCGTTAATTGTCGGTAGTCGCAGTACGAAACTTTCCTGCGAATCAGCTATTGTTACTTTTTTTCGTAATTTACCGTTTCCACATTTAAACCTAGCAGGTGATGGTAAAACTGAATTCAACAGTATTGCGTATATATAATCTTGAGCATCTGCAACCGAAATATAAAATAAATATTACTTTTAATGTTTATGATAAATCAGGAATTAAAATTTACCTATGCTGCTTGCCGTCAAAACATTTGCGAAGAGTTGTTTGCAATGTTCGTTATGAATATTTTTCCCATAATAATTGTAAATTTTTTTCTTAAATTGGTCCCATTTAGAAAGTAGAAGATTGCCTTTCTGTGGATACATAATATCGAAATCAATGTTGACCTAAAACGAAACATTAGTATCCATATACAAATAAATAGCTCATGGCTACTTACCAATTCTGAAGCTCTTGCATCGGACAACTTCGTCCATTCAAGGAGAAATGTATGGCTACTTAAATTTTTTATATCTCTTTGCCGTATGTTAAAAGATCTTTTCCATTTTTCGCAGATCGATCCCCAATCATTACATTCTCTTAGTAAGGAAGCTTTCAATGAATTTTCAACTGATTCATCAATTTCGGGAACATCTTTGTTACAAAAATTAGGAGATGTGTGAGTTGCTGCTTTGCTTGTGCTAGGCTCGGAAATCAAAAGCTTTATTCTTTTGGACTTCTTGTTTCTATACTTGGCATAAAGTTTTCCGCTTGCGTTGTTCTTTCCTTTTCTTGAAATGTAATAATAATCCTAAAAATAAAGACATATTATAAGTTAAGAAACTACATAATCAGATACGTTGTTTATATTGTTAATCTTACCCTCATTTCGTTTTCAAGAGGAAAAACGGAACAAATTTCATCCAATATGCGCATATAGTCTTGAGTGTAAAGAGTAACATTGTTGGTTAAAATATCTTCAATAATTATATTAATTATATCATCTCTTTGCTCGTCACTTAATTTCTTATTAACGCTACTACATTCAAGCGCTAGTTTCCCCTTCGAGGTATGTGTTAACAATTCCGTTAGATCCTATATTAAATAAAAAAACTACATTAACTATGCTTACACAAATATTACTCTTACCTTACCTCTGACAAAATTCCTTTGGCTTTTGAGCAGTTCGAACCTGTAGTGTCGGGAGTACCAGGAGTACTTGCAGGTGTCTCGTTGCGTTTCCACCATTCACCTATTTTAGATGGAACTGACATAGTTTCGTCATCAATCCCGAGCTATTGTTATGACAATATTAATACTGAGTTCAACTCTGTAAAACAAATAATACGTACCTTTCGTTTTTTCCAAGCAAAGAGCTTTTCTCTGAATTCAACACGCAGTCCCAATGGTGGCACTGCTTCCTTTAAATCTTCTTTTTTCAAGTACTGCAAGCTGCGAAATGTTACATGTGATGCTAAAAGAACAAAAAAGAAAATTCTTTGTTAATTACACTGATTAACTGAAAAATTCATTTTTATTTACTTACCTTTTAATTGTTCAAAAAGCGACTCCATATTTATTCCTTTTAAGAACTCCCTTAACATATAATCGTCCTCATTGTTTTCCGCATCTTGACTGCTGCAATGGTTTGTATCGCGAACCACAACAATATTGCCATCGATTTCTAACAACTCACCAATGATATTTTGAGGATCTTGCGAATTATTATTCATTTTCAATAAATTTTTTGCACAATGCGTCCTTTCTCTTTCAATAACACGGAAAAAATGGTAAATATGCAGCCGATTGCACACGAGTAAAAAAAATGACAACGGTGGTGCATGATTCATACACGGTAGTTGCTAAAATGGCAACGATCGTGTACGATTCATGCACGTCGGTGTACAAAGTAACAACGGTGGTGCATCATTATGCAGGTGGTGGTGCATAATTCATACACGACCGGTGTCATATTGACAACGACCGTGTGTGAATCATGCACCACCGTTGTCATTTTTTACTCGTGTGTAATCGGCTGCAATTACCAATATTACAAATGGACAAATTAAGCACGGCTGTTGTTGGTACCGAAAGTTGACCACGTCTCGGTGTCAATTTGAGCACGTTCGTGCACAATTCACCAACAGCCGTTGTTGAAAAATATAACAACGGGTCGTTGCGAAAATGACAACATACGTGCTTGATTTCGCAACGGGATTTTTCCCTCAGTGTAGGATTTTATGCTGATCAAGAATATATACTAGGGTGGAGGGTATGAAAAATTTAAACATTTTGACTTTTCGATGTTCCCAAGCGATGATGCATCTACCTGCATTCTTCTATCATACACGCCTAAAAATAGTTCCTAAGAAAACATTCAGTAATAACTCTTCATGTGTAAACTGTTTTATGATGAATTTTGCAGCTCCTTACAGACAACTATTATATATTTTAAACAAAATAAACTGAACCAAATATTAGGAACAATATCCACGAAATATCCATTCATTTTTAAAAAAGTTACAAAAAGAATTTTTCATAAATAAATATTCAGTGAAAGATGGCACAAGTCAAACACCGTTCATATTGGTTCACGGCTTCCATATAACGGATTTCGGTACATCAGACCGAATTTAGCTCAAAAAAGTATTTCAAGTTTCGTGAAAGTCGGTTCAGGTATATAAAATACCTCTGCTAAAGATCGGCTTAGATTTGGGCATGGCTCCCATATATATCTTTAACCGATTTGACGTTTATTGTGAATCAAATGGTTAATATTAACCAAAATGGGCCGAATTTTTCGAATGCAGCCGAATTCAGCCTAGAAATAAATACTTCAAAGTTGTGCAAAATCGGTAAAGATATAGCTATAGCTCCCATATATATTTCAACCAAATCGTAATATGCACTCCATAATGATATTTGGTACCAAATATCAGATACAGCACTCAAATGTATCCGCTAAATTTTATTGATATCGGTACAGATGCAACATTATTTGCTACGAGAGGCACAGATGCCTCAAATTTGTTGGAAATCGATTCAGAATCGGATATACATCCCATATATAAGTTTCCTCTGATTCCAAATTGTAACTGCTTTAAAGCTGTAATATGAATTCAAAAAAGCTTCATAATCGGTACTATCCACTTCACTTTAACGTAGGACCAAGTAAAGCGGGACTGCTGTGCTAGCATTACAGCCGTTAACTCTTACTCTCCTTGCAATCTAAAAGTACTTTGGCAACTCTAACTTCAATATTGTAAATTTATTTGTTAATTATTACCTTTCTTGTTAACTAAAGTGATGGGAGGAGTTTATTGTCTACCAATTCCGAAAGGAAAGTTAAAAACTTGGCTATGCCTTGCCTGCTATTTCATAACATAAAATTAATAAGCTACTCATTTTTAAGGGCAATCTTCTAAAGAAACCGAAAAGTTATAACAAACTTTTATTTACACTACCATCCATCCCCTGACAGCAGGCGGACGGAAAATCTATCACAAACACCCATACACACTGGCACAAATGGTTTACTTGTGGCATTGACTGACTGAGTGTTGTTATTGCCGTTGCCGTAGTGGTCGATTTGTCCGACATTAATAACAGTGGCATGAATAACAAACTGCCTTTATCGCTTTAATGAAGCTGACCATCGGGAGGCAACAAGCTGCATCCCATAACTTCTTTGTTGGTGGTTTCATGTTCGAGTGATCGGATGTTTAATGGGTTATTTCTGGTTTCCAATCAGTCACGACGTTGGTTGTGGCTTTCATTGTTATCTGAAGTGGATAATTAGCTGTTAAATGACAATGTTTGTTAAGATATTTATTTCATTCGTTTTGTTGAATTCCAATCGGTAATGGGTTGCAGCAGTAATACAGGTGGTCTCACGAAAATTAATAATACATTTTTTATTTAAATTATAACCAAATTTTTATTCAGTCAATTCAAAACGTTGGTAAATTGAAATGTTGGTTTTTAAATAATAAATTATAAACTATGAGCTTGTCTCAGAAGCATATGCTGCAATCTAAATTGGTCGCGATATGGGTAAATCGTTTATGTAGCATTGATGTTTCTGTAATCCAGCTGTACAGTGAGGAAAATTACAAGATATTTCCAATCAAAATAATTTACCTAATTTTTAGAGAATTTAAACAAGTAAGCAAAGGCTATAGACGTGAAGACGCCGACCATGTGATACCCTGCAATACTACTATATATTAGAAGCCCCTTATGTCCAAATCAGTTTTGGGAGAATTCGTGATAGAAATGATGTCATAGTGCCCTTCCCATAGAGCCTTTGCCCAATTTCCATGTACTCCGTGTTGTTAGGTATTCTAAACAATTTCACACGAAAGTTGTGACCCATTTTTGAGCTAAATATAATCAAAATTGCCCAATATTTAAGCACTCCGTCGTGCAGTAAAATCCAATGGTAATCCAAAATGCCAGACTTCTTCGCTGTCATTAACTTTCTTCTCAGACAAAATTCCGCGTCGATTGGCTTCAATTGTGTAATCAGGAATTTTTTCTGTTTTGGGGTCATTTGAACCGCTAAATATTTTGTGATCATCTCCAAAAGTAAGAGACCCATCTGCATTTCCAAATTAAGACTCATCTATATGAGTTGCTTGTTTACGATATTTGGCTGTATCCGTCAACGAAATCAGCATAAAAAACCCAGAAGCTCGGCTTTTGTATACTTTGAATTTCGCCTGTTAGTTATTTTTAGCGTTTCGGTAGAATTGAAATGTTGATATTTTTCACACAAAAGTAGTGGTCCATTCTACCCGCTGTCCTAAACTCCAATTTCATGCAAGATTTCGTTTCTTTTGATTTCTTTTTGTGACCTTTATAACGTCTGCAAAACTAGGAACATTTTTATACGTTGGTCGATTTCAACTCCTAAATATATTGGGGTCATCTTTAAAAACAATAAGCTTAGCCCTTCAGAGCTTAATCCTACTCTAATGAAAATTTTCGTGAGGATCGGACGATAGTTGCAATCTGTATATAATAACCCCAACCTGTGTTGTAAGGTGAAAAATATTACAAAATGTATACTTTAATATTATAAGTCAAAATGAAAAAATCGCATGCGATAAAAAATATGAAAAAATAAAAAAATGTCACAAAATACTAAAAAATCTATATTAACATCCTTATTGGCATCTTTTTATGCGATTTATATATTTTTTAGATTTTATTCTTTAATGTCAAGGGGGCATTCTAAACTGACAAAATTTGTCCAAATCGGTCCAGCCATTCATGAGATATAAGCATTCTAGCTAACATCCCCTTCCTTTGTATACACACATTGTATATATTTCGCTATATATATCCATATATTTTCTATCGTCATCTACGTACGGGTCAGAATTGACTTGTTCGTCTATTTGTGATTTCGCCGGGATTAAAAATATTCGCGATTTAATGGGATATTTGACTTTTATTTAACACAAATGTTATGGTCTATTTCACCCACTAAATATTACCCGATGACAATCAAGATTGGAAGACTTCTGCCCACCCCTAAGCTCTAAACCCATGCTAACTTCTGCGTCGATTGGTCTATAATTGTGATTTGTTTTTGGTCCATTTCAACCCCTAAATATTATGCGACCCTATCCTCAATTCCATTTTCAATTTCGTGATGATCGTGCCATAATTGCGACCTGTAGACGGACGGACGGACGGACGGACATACATACGGACATCGACTCAGCTCGGCGAGATAGGAAGATCCATATATACTTTCCTATGTGGGAAACCAATATTTCGAGGTGTTACGTAATTTTTGGCCCAATCAAACTTATAATACCCCCAACACAAAGTATTGTAGGGTATAAATATGGGTGTGTCAAGTACATACGATGCAGAATTAATTTTCGTTATTTTAATTCTAAGATATATTGGAAATGGTCATTGATTAAAAATATAATATAAAATTTTTAGATATATAACTGGTATTAAAATTGGCCAATGAGGTTATACTCGTATAAGGTATTATGTATTGGTGCATTTGTTTGTAACATGCAGAAGGAAACAAGATCGAAACTTAGATACTTTTAATGATCTCCATAGAATATGGTTATATGGTGGCTATACGAAAACGTGGACCTGAATAAACAGTTTATGTCATAGACTGTAGGTCCCATCATGAACTTTGAATACGAAATTTGAAACAACACCGGTTAACAACGTCTCTAATACCATAAAAATACCGAATAAAGGGAGGTGCCATTGTACGTGGGGTTTACCAAAACGTGGACCTCCAAAGGATTTTCTACAGGTTGAAGGTATCTATCCCTCTAGCAAAAACTATTCAATATGTATTGATATAGCCCTCATATAACCCACCATATACTGAAACGTAGTGATCTGGTTTTTTATACAAATAAGAACCCAAATGACAAGATATGAAATCTGACAGAAATGCTATATTAAGGGTTATGTCCAACGTTTACGCCGATCAATAATATATATACCCACTAGCTGGCCCGGTCCGCGTTGCCGGCCCGTAGTTTTAGTCTTTAATGCAAATTTTGTATAGCATAATATTTCACAAATCTGGCTCATAAAGGTGAGGCAAAATAATTTCTGAATAGTCCAAGTTAATTACGCTTTTACACTCATTACCATAGCACCTCAAATTGCGCATTACAATCCCCAAAAAGTCTATGTTCTTGTTCATAGTAAAATTCAATGACGATTAAACAATGCCCGTGTTCTTGTTAGCCAATCGGTAAAAATCACTATAGATCGGCGCCCCTGGGGACTATATGGGGACTGTACCAAAATATTTACGTATGTTGACATTTTTCTGTAAGATGGTTCTCTACTCACAAAGTAGCCTAAATACAGCAAAATAGATTGGAAAATGTGGTCAAGACCCTCGAAATAGAAAAGCCAAGACGTCAAATATTGGCCAAATCAGTTGAAAAACGTGGCCAAGACCACAGTCATATCTGAAATCAGGGATACATTTATATGAAGGTTATACCAACAACCAATATTCTCCTGGGGGTTACAAATTCAATAGAATACAAAATATTTTTTTCTGACCACACATTAGATGCGAAAGTGGATTTGGGGATACTCCAATGTGGGGACTTTACTTACATAAATTCCGAGGTGGCAAATATCTGTATACAATTTTTAGCCAAATCAATTGATGAATGTGGTCAAGACCAAAATGGGCCTTACTCTGAAAATT